GTTACAAAAAGTGTTCACTGTCTAAGGTCGCTCTAGTTACCTATTATCTTAAAAGAAGTAGATATAGGATAACACTATGATCCTCGGGTGTCTTGCAGATGGAACGAAACTTCCACTTGTATGTATTTTTAAGTTGAAAAATGTCACCATGAAGTCTTTCTTCCAGGTGTTATCATTAGAGTAAACGAAAAAGGATGATGTAATAAGCTTGTAATGCATGATTGGATTGTTAATGTTTGGACTGAGCATAATCTATTAGGAAATCCACGATCTCTTCTTGTTTTGGATGCCTTTAGAGGTCACTTGATAGACTCTGTTAAGCACTAGTTTAATGAAAAAAACACTGATCTTGCAGTTATTCTATATAGAATAACTAGTAAATTACAGCCACTTGATGTTGTGATCAATATAAGCTTCAATCAACAGGTATATTAAAACAAATCTTTTTTTTTTTAAATTAAGCACATTAATAACCCTAAACTTTATCAAGGTGCGTTGCTGTTACAATAAATGGATAGTCAATTCAATTCATCAATTAATGCCTGCTGGATATATCTAAAAGCTATTGTATGCCAAGTTAGCTCTATGGGTAAAAGAATCTTGGGATAAAATTAGTCCTCGTTTAATTCAAAGTGCATTTAAATGCTGTGGTATCTCAGTAGAAATGGATGGGTCAGAAGATGATTTAGTCTTTGATTATGAATTGTTGGATGAGGAGAATGCAAGTAATGAAAATACTGAAGAAGTATTGACTTTTGATAATATTGATTGAGATGAATATGAAGAAGTCAAAGCTAATAATGTTTGGGAATAATGATAGAGTTTGATTTTTGTTTTTTTTTTACTTTTAATTTTACATCTGCATATTGTAGCTTACAATAATCAAATTTGAACTATAATAAAGTGGTTAGATTTAAAAAATAAATTCAAATTTCGAAATTGGTTTAATTAATTTGTTAAATTCATTGCTTCGACTTTTTACACTTCTCTAAATTTTTGATGCAATATATTGAACATGATTAGTATGGTGGTTTGCAAAAAAATGTGACCTGTAAATCATGAAAATTGGCCGATCTTAGCAGATTTTTTAATTCTTCCAAGATTTCGAATAAATATAGATGTTACTAATTGACAATAGAAATTTAGAATCTCGGAAATTTTCAACTATCATTATTACGAAATCACTTTTTTGCAAGCTGTCATAATTTAGACCCAATTCCAAAAAATCGCAGCGATGTCATAATGCACAGGTTAGCAGATCTAAAATCCAAATTTATTTAGCTAAATTATAAAAATTAAAATTTAAAAAATTTTTTTGACCAATCTATAAGTAGTATCCAGGTATAAATCAAAAATTGGTATTCAATTGCTACGGTGTATATTGTAAAGATACAATACCCAGGTATAAACAAAAAATTGGCCTTCAAAATGCTGCAGGGTATATCTCATAAGGGGGTACACATGTCAAATAAATACAGTAATTTATCCTCGAGGCAAACCCTCCAGAGCTTCTGTACCCATTTTTACAGCTGACCTAGGTATCACTATAGCAGAACCAACACTTGTGATCAAGGCTAACTATTAAACCACTATGCCCTTGTAGAGTTCAGCATCTACTTCACAACATAACCCTGGTACTTTAATATACCTCTGCCTTTTTCCCTACCCTTTTACCAAACTCCCAATTTAGATAGCCCGTGTAGGACTATGACCAATCCATCAATATATCAGGTTAGCCCAATATTCTTTTTCTCTAGTTTATTACAGCAGCCTGGTTGGTGGTACCTTTGAGACTCCCAATCTGGAGGTTCTTACCTGTATGGCTACTAGACTAGGTACTAGATCTGGGTATCTATTTCACCAGGCTAGCCTTTACAGTAGGGCCATCAAAGATCCAGCTACCTCTCTACTCAGGTTTTTCCAAATAGACTTTTTGTTATCCAATTTTAATGGATTTACACAGCCACAAGGACTTATCTAGTGTTTGCACTGCCTAATTTGTTGGTTTGTATTTCTCTGTATAATGCTATACTTACACAGATGCATTATAACCTGCCAGTTATGCTGATGTGACTACTATTACAGGTATCCTAACCCAATCATTAGTAACAGTTGCCGTAATATGAATATTACATAGGTGATAATTCAAATTTTCACTGTCAATGGGATTTGAACACCTAACCTACTACTTGGAGAGTTGACAACCTAACTACTTCACTAGGTCACAACACCCTTAAACTTTTTTCATTTAAACTAACAAATAAATAAATAAATATGAATTTTATATTGTATTTCATATTCTGCATAGTCTCAAATTACATCTTTTACAAACCTAACTTATAGCTCTTCTTCTGGTCTATCTTTATTTTCTATTTCAATACTACAAATTATTATCAAAATTAATTTTTAAACTATCCAATAAATTAATTATTATACTCCCTTTTATATATTATTACTAATATCCAAATCTAGATAAGTCTTGATTATTCTTGTAAGTTTAGGTCACAAATTATATTTCTGAATTTTATTTTTTATATATAATTTAAAAGCAAGCTTTTTTTTATAAAACTTTAATTGAATTTCAATAAAGTTAAAGGCATGGTCTTATTATTAATATTTTTTAAAAAATAATAATAAATTATTTAAAAATTTACAAATAAAGATCTAATAAGTAAAAATAATTACAAATATAGACTCAAATTAAAAATAATTATGTAAATAAATTTAATCTTTAAAAAAATATTATAAAAATTTAAAATAATAATATTATTATTTAAGTTTATAATTTAATCATTATTAGTAATTTTTAAATATATAAAAAATAGAATAATTAATTATAAATTAGTATTTATAAATAAGAAAAGAACTTTTTTGGTTTTAAAATAAGGCCTTACTTATATATTATCATACTATAGAAATTATAGACTTTAAAACTTCCTATTCATAAGGTAAACAAGAGCTTTCACATAACAATAGATAGAATAGTACTCAAAAGAGATATTGGATTTGGGTGAGTACTAAGAGTAAGTATATCTTTATTAACTATACTATGAAACTTACTTTTCTTATATTACAGGCACATTATTTATATACTTTTTTCTATATACTAATTACACTAATTATGCTATATATGCTAATTCTACTAATTATACTATATATGCCAATTACACTAATTACACTAAATATACTATATTAGCTATATCTATTAATTAAACTAATTACACTACATCTACTAATTATGCTAATTATACTACATCTACTAATTACACTCTATATATGTGCTGTATCTAATAATTACTATATATTAATATTTCATTATGTAATCTAATTTAAATAAAATATTAACAATCCTTTTTTAGATCATGACAATATTTATTAGTAATTTAGTTGTATATATTAATATATTATATATTAAAAATATGTTAAGATTATAAAATACAATATAAAATTACATATAAGAATTAAAGCTTTAATAACTTTATCTATAATCTAAACTTAGAAAAAAACTTTTTTAAACTTAGTAAATTATTAATTATAAATAAAAAAATTTTTAAATTTAATAATTTTAATTTTTTTTATATAAAATTAGATATTGTTATAACAAACTACTATTATATTAAATTAAGCACTATTAATTAAAATAACATTTACTAATATAAAAATAATTATTCTGCTTTTAAGAACTATTCTATTTAAACTTTATTGCTTAAAAATAATTATACTATTTAATATATTTTTATACAATATTTAAACAATAATAATTGTAGCTAGTGTTTTATTATTTTTTATCTAATAATTAATATTTAAATAAGGTTGTTTGCAATTGAATTTTTAGTTAATATTATCTTTAAAACTCTTAAAAATGTAAAAAAATAATAAATTAAATAATAAACTGTAAGCTATAAAACATTAAAGCTATAAAAGTATTAAATCTTTAATAAATATTATTAGAATAATAAGTATAAGTCTATATCATGATAAGATATATAATATGCTATAAGTAAATAAAAGTATATAATGTACTAAAAAAAAAATATAGTTCATAATTTTAATAAATTTATTTTCTTTATAATTACACATCTTTTTATATTATAATTAAATTACTTATATTTTAATTTACTGTTTAAGTAACATAAATTGTAAATATATCTATTATAAATTATAGAAATAATAATGCTAAAAGACTATAAAAACAAGTAATTAATGTAATACATTAACAAATTATTACTTATGTTGATTATTTATCTAAAATAGATTTACTGATAGTATTAATATAATCAAAACAGAGGTGTGGCAACCTAGTAAAGTAGTCAAGTTGTCAACTCCCCAAGTGGTAGGTTGGGTGTCCAAATCCCATTGATGGCAAAAATTTGGATAATCACCTATGTAATATTCATATTATGGCAATTGTTACTAACAATTGGGTTAGAATACCTGTAATGGCAGTTGCACCAGCATGACTAGCAGGTCATAGTGCATCTGTGTAAGTATAGCATTATACAGAGGAATGCAAACCAACAAATTAGGCAGTGCAAACATTAGATAAGTTCTTGTGGCCATATAAATTCATTGAAATTGGATAACAAAAAGTCTATTTGGGAAGACCTGAGTAGAGAGGTAACTGAATCTTTGACAGCCCTACTGTAAAGGCTAGCTCAGGAAAATGGATACAAAGATCATAGTACCTGGTTATAGTAGCCAGACTGGCAAGAACCTCTGGGTTGGGAGTCTTGAAGGTATCACCAATCAGGCCACTGAAATGAATCAGAGAAAAAGAATATCAGGCTGATCTGATATACTGATGGACTGGTAGTAGTCCTTTATGGGTTATCTGGATTAGGTGTTTAGTAAAAAGGCAAGTAAAATAGCAGGGGTATACTAAAGTACTGGGGTTAAGCTGTGAAGTAGATGCTGGGGTCTAAGTGAACTCTA